TTATCAGAAATATATAGATTAATAAATCACTTTTTTGGCCCTAACAAAATTTTTCTCGCACAATTTTACTATACTATAGATCTTAAACCCAAACCTAAACCCTGACCCAAACTCTAATGTAAAAATAATTTTTTTTATATAAATCAGAAAATCACATAACTAAAAATCAAATTTATGCTTTGTCAATTTCTATCTCAACTACTGTTTGTCACTAAGAATGTCTATATAAATTGATCTATTTAGAATTGATATGCTTTTATTAGAGATTATCAATCTGTGTATTAAATTATCCAGTTAAATTAAATTCATACATTATGATCATGCTACTATACAAATCCCAGACATGATTGAGTAACCCATGACTCTAGAAATAGAGATACAGGGGTGTTTGTTAGAGATGAGACATAAAACAAAACTTACCTGAAACCAGTTTTAGATAGGCCTAATTCCAAAACCTAAAACTATAATTTGAAACCTTTGGCCAATCAAAATGCAGGATCAGGTGAATGTAAAAACCAACTTTTTAAAAATTATTTCTAATTTAAAATTTGTAAAACTTTCTTTTTTATCATAACAAAGAATTCTTTAAATTTGGATTAGCATCTTCTAGCTATTGCCCTGGCCAAATTCTAAACTAACTCTAACCCAACTATTGTTTGTTTTGTTTTGATTAATGTGAAAATTAATGATTAGTTAATACTATCATTGAAATAATTGTGCTATTTTTGTTTGGATCATCTTCATCTAAATTTTAAACAAAATCATTAACTTATCATCATTATTTAAATCTTCAATCTTCTACAATTTTGATTATTATCTGCATTTTAAAAAGCACTATTTTTCATCATAAATAATGCAGACTATATTAATTAAAACCAAATTACTACACAAAATTAAATTTTAATAGTTTAGGGGTTTAAAAAAGTTTGAGATAAGGTTTAGAAGATTTTATGTAGAGTTTTGGAGTTTCTGGTAGGTTTTAAATAAGGTTTTAGATTTTGGGTTTCATATAAGGTTTTGAGTTTTAGATAAGGTTTCAAAACCTATAATCCAAAACCCAAAACATTCAGATTTGGCCAAAAATGTTTTGGGTCCTATCTTTAGTGTTGGTCCTCACTATGATACCTAATACTATAATATCGGCTATTATTATTGCTATTTTTATAATTTCTGGAATAATTGATAAAATTAACCAAATAATGTTTGAGATGATCCAATTAAGTTTGCAATTTTGACAATAATAGATTCAATAAAATCGATAACCTATGTAATTTAAAATCAAATAACTAATATAAATATTATGTAAATACTGTATCTTTGATGAATACAACACAGAAAAAACAATACTTTCAAAGCAGCTTTGCTAAAAAATAATTTAAAAAATTTAAAAAGCCTATCATTTTGAAAAATTGTCAAAAACTTTGGTGTTAGTATATCTCTATAAGTTGTGCTCTTAAGCAGTTTGAAAGATATGGACTTTTAGGAAAACTATATTTATTAAATATAAATGTTGTAAAACATATTAAAACAAATATTAAGAGAAAACCTGACTGGTATTTGTATAAATTACAATTTGAGATAGATCTTTGAAGGCTATACACGTAGAGTTTGTTGTGCTGGTACTTGGTGATGCCAATGGTGCACCGAGTTGGTGCACCAGCTGGCATGCCAATGCAAGCATGGTACAAAGATAGTGAGTCAATCATATTTAATTTATTTATATATTTGAGCATGTATATGTAATATAACATACACACATGTATAAACTTTCTAAGTAACTTTTGAAAAATAGGTTCAGTTTTAGCTCAATAATATTAACAGTAACTTGTCTCAATAGGTTAACAGTAAGAAATATAATATTAGTTAATTGAACCTGAAAGTTCCTAATATATACAGTGAATGAACACAAAATACAAGCACAATCAAGCTAAAAAGTAGGTTTATTCCAAAAGTATAAGGCAATATAACTACAAGATATGGATGTCTTTGTCAGTAGTAAAGATATATCAAACTATTGGCATCTGACAATAGTGTAATATAATAGTGCATTACAAAGATGGCATCAAAACGAAACCTACCCAAAACCAGTTTCAGGAGAGTTCTAATCCAAAACTAGTTTTGGATTTATTTAAAAAAATCAAACTCCGAAAGCCAAAACCCCAAAACTATAATCTGAAACCCAATTCTATAATCTGAAACTCAAAAACATAAGGTAGGTATGGGTATTATAACACACTACCAATTATGGCGCAGTTATGATATTTCATGACCCGTTGATCAGAATTGTATGATTTTGGTACCAATTGATCCGTCTCAGTGAGACAAATCGATTGGTATCAAAATTGTACAATTCTGATCAATAGGTCACGAGATATCTTTGCTTTAATGAAATAAACAAATTTTTTAAATTATAAATATAGGCGTTTTAAAATTTCAAAAACTTTGATCGAAGATATCTTTGCAACCACATGACCAAAATCAATGAACTTTTCTTTATTTGAATTCTGTGGTTCTTTAGAATTCAAATAAAAAAAAGTTCATCGATTTTGGCTATGTGGTTGCCAAAGATATCTTCGATCAAAGTTTTGGCATGAATATCGGCGCAGCTATTATTAAGTAATATAGGCTTTTAAAATTTCAAAAACTTTGATTGAAGATATCTTTGCAACCACATGACCAAAATCAATGAACTTTTTTTTATTTGAATTCTATGGTTCTGTAGAATTCAAATCAAAAAAAGTTCATCGATTTTGGTTATGTAGTTGCCAAGATATCTTCGATCAAAGTTTTGGTATGAATATCGCGCAGTTATTATTAAGTAATATAGGCGTTTTAAAATTTCAAAAACTTTGATTGAAGATATCTTTGCAACCACATAACCAAAATCGATAAACTTTTTTTTATTTGAATTCTATGGTTCTGTAGAATTCAAATAAAAAAAAGTTTATCAATTTTGGTTATGTGGTTGCCAAGATATTTTCGATCAAAGTTTGGTATAAATATTAGCGCAGTTATTATTAAGTAATATAGGCGTTTTAAAATTTCAAAAACTTTGATCGAATATATCTTTGCAACCACATGACCAAAATCGATGAACTTTTTTTATTTGAATTCATGGTTCTGTAGAATTTAAATAAAAAAAAGTTCATCGATTTTGGTTATGTGGTTGCCAAAATATCTTCGATTAAAGTTTTGGTATGAATATTAGCACAGTTATTATTAAGTAATATAGACGTTTTAAAATTTCAAAAACTTTAATCAAATATATCTTTGCAACCACGTGACCAAAATCGATGAACTTTTTTTTATTTGAATTCTATGGTTATTTAAAATTCAAATAAAAAAAGTTCATCGATTTTGGTTATGTGGTTGCCAAGATATCTTCGATTAAAGTTTTGGTATGAATATCAGCACAGTTATTATTAAGTAATATAGACGTTTTAAAATTTCAAAAACTTTAATCAAATATATCTTTGCAACCACATGACCAAAATCGATGAACTTTTTTTTATTTGAATTCTATGGTTATTTAAAATTCAAATAAAAAAAAGTTCATCGATTTTGGTTATGTAGTTGCCAAGATATCTTCAATCAAAGTTTTGGTGTGAATATCAGCGCAGTTATTATTAAGTAATATAGGCGTTTTAAGATTTCAAAAACTTTAATCAAATATATCTTTGCAACCACGTGACCAAAATTGGTGAACTTTTTTTATTTGAATTCTATGGTTATTTAGAATTCAAATAAAAAAAAGTTCATCGATTTTGGTTATGTAGTTGCCAAGATATATTCAATCAAAGTTTTGGTATAAATATCGGCACAGTTATTATTAAGTAATATAGGCGGTTTAAAATTTCAAAAACTTTGATCGAAGATATCTTTGCAACCACATGACCAAAATCGATGAAATTTTTTTTATTTGAATTCTATGGTTATTTAGAATTCAAATTAAAAAACGTTCATCGATTTTGGTTACGTGGTTTCCAAGATATATTCAATCAAAGTTTTGGTATGAATATTGCAACCACATAACCAAAATCGATGAACTTTTTTTTATTTGAATTCTATGGTTATTTAGAATTCAAATAAAAAAAAATTTCATTGATTTTGGTTATGTGGTTGCCAAGATATCTTTAATCAAAGTTTTGGTATAAATATTGGCGCAGCGATTAGTAAAATATTCGCTGATAATAATTTTTGATTGTTTATAACTTGTGATGCAGTAATCAGAATTGAATAATTTTGGTATCATTCGACTTGCCTCATGAGACAAATCAAATGGTATCGAAATCATTCAATTCTGATCACTAGATCATGAGATATCACATGTGCGCCATAATTGTACATGTACCTAAATTTATTAATTTTTTGGTATTTAATTTGATTTGCAATAACTCGTGATCTAGTGATTAGAATTGAACGATTTTGGTATTATTCGATTCGTCATGATGAGATGAATCGAATGGTATCAAAATCATTCAATTTGATCACTAGATCACATGATATTACCATTTAAAGTTAGCTGCGCCATAATACCCATATCTACCTTAATATTGAAGCTTTTAAAATTTATTATAAAGTTGACTTATTTTTAATGAACCCAAAATATAAAATTATTTTTAAATAAATTTATCAATTATATCATTATTAGATATAGACATACTTATTACTTGATATTGTATCCAGTTTTGCGTAGTAAGTAAAAAAAAACTGATGCTTCAGAATATAAACTCCAGGATTATACCTTTCATATTGTACTCATGAATCAACAACAAAAAGAACTGCATACATGCAATAAATTGTTGGATGCATTCCAGTCCAAATAGCACTGGATATTAAATTTTATTGAATTCTTTAAGGGGATATATAACATACATCAGTGTGATTAATGTATATTGAAGAGATACTAGCATACATTAGTGCATTTGATATATAATTGAAAGTGTTATATAATACATTAATGCATTCAATGTATATAGAAATTTGAGTAGTTTTTGGTATTAAGGTGAGGTTTCAAGGTTTTGAGTTTCAGATGATGTCGGATAAGCTTTTGTAAGTTATAATTCTAAGCCTAAAACTTTCAGATTTAACACAAAAAGGTTTCAGCGCCAACTTTGGAGAGAATAAAAAAATTATTAATGTTTTGTAGGTTCAGAGTTTCAGTTGAGATTTCGGGTTTTGGTTGAGATTTCGAGTTTTAGATAAGGTTTCAGAAGCTATAATCCGAAACCTGAAACTTTTGGAATCATTAAAAAAGGTTTCGGTGCCATCTTTGGTGCACTATGCACCAGAATATTTTGCTGCATTTGCGTGGTGCACTACTAGAATTACAACTACACCACCAACTCTAATCCGAACCCTCCCAACCCATATATAATTCTGCTATTTTGTGGTATCTTGAAGCTTCAACTCAAAGTCAGCCTGCTTAATGCAGTGTGGGAAACCACTAGTATCACAAATTCAGCTGATAACAGCAATAACAGATTGCTATTCCTGGGAACATATATATACTTTCTCATCTTATACGATGTATGCTACAATTTCTCAATAAAAATCATTAATAAAAGCTAACATCTGGCATATAATCAGCTAACAGTCATGTTACGCGCTTTTTGAAAATATTTATCATTGTGCTGTTCCCGGCACTTGAAAATTGAACCTAGGCGCTGCACAAAAAATGCGCGGCAGATCTTTGATTTTGATTGGCTAAGAGCAACGATCAAAAAATTAGGCCAGAATTACTCCTAATTTTACTAATGAAATTGCAGCCGCCTACTAAGTGAAAATAGTTCTTGGGTCAATTTTATTATAATGCGAGCTTATTTTTTAAAAATTTCTATTTTTGTAATGAAATATTAAAAAGTAAATTCCAGCCGGAGATTAGTAAACAATTATATAATGCGGGCCAAAATTTGGAAGATCCTCGGCCGTTAGCCAATCAAAATCGTGGATTTGCTGTGCATTTTTTTGTGTTCAATGTGGGACCCTAGGTGCCGTACAAAAAATGCACGGCAAATCCTCGATTTGATTGGCTAACAGCCAAAGATCTTTGTAATTTTGGTCCGCATTACAAAATTGTTTACTAAATTCCGGCCGGAATTAACTTTTTAATTTTTTATTACAAAAATAGAAATAAGCTTGCATTATGGTAAATTTGACCCAGGAACAATTTTCACTTAATAGGCAACTGCGATTTTTTTAGTAAAATTATGAGTAATTCCGGCTTGATTTTTTAGCCAATCAAAATCGAGGATCTGCCGCACATTTTTTTGTACAGCACCTAGGTTCAATGTGGATCATTTTACTACAGCTACGCCATGACATGTCACTGGCACTTTGGAGATTGACTCAGTGGGGAGCTTATTGGGTCTTGGACCAATTTAGCTTTGATCGTAAACAAATAGTGATTAAGGTCAAATGGTTTAAATTAATAAATTAACACACATAATTACAAGTTATAAGGTCTCTCACTTTCATTACAGCTGTTTTTATTATTCCTGGGACCTATAAAAAAATTGGCCAAAAAATTTTTTGGCTGGTAATTTTTTCGGCATGATCAGTATATAAAATTTATATTTTTGAATTCGTTCAATTTTAATTTACTTAATATTAATATAATATTTATGTCATAAATTAAATATATTTTTGAATTCGTTCAATTTTTGTTTACTGTATAATATTGATATAGTATCTTTGTCTAAATTACATTGTTGTTCCTATTTCAAAAATTATCATAATAAATATAATACCTGTTTTATGTATTATTATTATAATTAAAATTTCATTTGAACGCTTGCCCAATATGTTTAGTATGTTTAATTTGTGCGAAAGTTTATGGAAAAGATTGTTCTTGTCAACCAATAATTTACACGAATAGGTGCTAGTATTAAAAAAGTTAGATATGATCAAGAATTCGTCGATTGGACTAAAAATTCAACTAAAGTCGAGATTCCAAAAAATCAAGACTTAATATTTGTTTAAAAATTATGATCAACAAAATCAAAGCTATCTAACAATTAAAGATTCTCTAGAATCTTTATCAAATACTTTTGAGTTATCTGACTTGTCTGAAGTAACCACAACTGATTCAGAAATTAATTGGATATTATTAACATGAAGAACCTGAATCAGAAGCTATTAATATGAAAGAGCCTTTTATAAAATTGGTAAAAGTTTACAAAATAAAAATATGTATAAATATATGAAATATTACCTTTTTGTGCGTATATCCAAGTCAGTGTATAGCCCTCCAAATTGTTGTAAGAAAGTTCGATCTCGGATTGTAATTCAAACAAGTACCAGTCAGGTTTTTCTTTCATTAAAACTTTAAGATAATTTATATTCATGTTTAAAGAACGTGGTTTTTAATACAACCATATCTTTGAAAATGTACAAGAACCCGACTTATAGAAGACGTGCTAACGCCTAAGTGTTTTGCAATTTTTTGAGTTGATAGGCCTTCTAAATTTTTTTCAATAATTTGTTAGCGAAGTATACATTATTGGGCAAAAATTTGTGAATAACGGCAATTTGCCCAATAGGGAGTCACTCGCTGAGTTTGGTTTTTTTTTGAATATTGGAAAAACGTAATTACATCGTAACACATGAAAAAAAATAACAGAAAGAAAGTTTTTCATGATCATAAGAGTTTGTCGGATAATGTATTATATTTTTTTGAATTCAACAAGAGATGTGCATAATTTTATATTTATTATCTGTTATCCACCTGATTTTAAATTACGTATTTACATCAATTTTTATTGAATTATTATTATGCCGAAAAATAACTAACCGGATCGGCTGGCTAATTTTTTATTAGATGTCCCAGGAATAATGAAAAAACAGCTGTAATATTATAAAATTTCCGGCCGTTTTAAAACTACTCCGGAAGCCAACTTAACTAAACGGGACCTCCGGTATTTTACAATAGAATTTTGTGCCCTGATTCAGCCTACAAATTTATTGATTTTTAATTTTGACTATAAATTTATATGTGGGTCGAATCTCAACCATTTGACTAGTGGTAATTTTATAATATTTATTATATTAATCATCTATCTTACGTATCGCGTGAAATCATAAACTTACTCGAATCAGACAAAAAATCATAGCTGTAAGCCTGGCCCGGCCGGCTGGGCTGCGAGACTCAATGCAGTCGTTTACGTCCAGGATTGGGGGCATAGCACAAGTTGTGTGAGATGGATGTTTCATTAGTGGATGAGTGTTGAAAATAGTCTAGTTGGCGGATAAGGGAGTGTAAGATACTATTTACTTATTTATTACGGGTCGAGTCTCTTTATTAGTTAGTTATATTTATACATTCTAGCTTTGAAGGTTTTGAACCCAAATCTTGGGTCTCAAATCCTCATCTTGGGTTTCAAACTCTCATTTTAGGACTCAAACCCTTATCGAACTCTCATCCAGGGTTTTTCATTCGTAAAATAAGAATTTAAAGTAGTAAAATATGCAGAACCGTATTTATATAAAATTTCATTTTCGCTACTACCCAACGGCTAAGGATATTTTTATTATTTAAAATAATTACTGCGTATAGGTAGCCCTTCCACTTAAAAAATAATAAATTTATGACGTACGTACTGCAGGGCTAAACCGACATATACGTAGCAGTATAGCAAATGGTATCATTTACAGTGCCACCATTTAAAATATCTTCCTTAATACAGATACATCAAAGACCCTATAAATCAGAAACAATACAGGTCGAATGACCGGCATTTATTATATGTCGTTTTAGCGGTATATACGCACGCGGGTACGTCAGGACTAGAGTTGGGTAACGAAACCTTTTTTGCCAAATCCGAAAGTTTCGGGTTTCAGATTATAGATTCCGAAACCCCATCCGAAATCCCGAAATCTCATCCGAAATCCGAAACCCCGAAACTGTAAAATATGCTGGTAGCTACAGTAATAACGAGGTTTATAGATATGGTTGTAGTTGGAATCGATTATTAATATGTTATTGATATAAATGTAACATAAATTAAGCTACTACCGTAGTGCACTGACCAAAGTATCCCCCTTTTTCAATATCCCTCTTGCAAAGTACCCGGTGCAAAACACGATTAAATAAATTTTTAGACTGCTTATTGTAAGTGCAGAATATGTATATGTTTGACCCGCTGCTGTATAATATACCCGGGTCTTTTGTACCGTATATTACCGATTAAAAGCAACCCCCGAATAAAAGCAACCCCTCAGATTTTGGAGCCAAAAATTTGACTACA